TAAAACGCAGAGAGAGTTGGCCCAGTAGGGGGCACAGCTGGTGGATCTGCCAGTCATCTCAGTTCAGTCAACCCATGGCACCTGGGTCTGTCCCGTGTCCCCCTGACAGCGAGCCTTGGATACTTCACGTGGCCTCAAGGTGCACCTAGCCTGGCACAAGCGCCGCCGTGATGTCACCGCCACTTAATGGCCAACGGCGGTTGTTGATAAACAGGTCTGTGTGTGAGTTGGTACAGGTGTGTGTGAGTTGGTACAGGTGTGTGTGAGTTGGTACAGGTGTGTGTGGGTTGGAACAGGTGTGTGTGTTGGTACAGGTGTGTGAGAGTTGGTACAGGTCTGTGTGAGTTGGTACAGGTGTGTGCGTGTTGGTACAGGTGTATGTGAGTTGGTACAGGTGTGTGAGTGTTGGTACAAGTGTGTAAGTTGGTACAGGTGTGTGTTAGTTGGTACATGTGTGTGTGAGTTGGTACATGTGTGAGCGTGTTGGTACAGGAGTGCGAGTTGGTACAGGTGTGTGAGTGTTGGTACAGGTGTGTGCGTGTTGGTACAGGTGTGCGAGTTGGTACAAGTGTGTGTGAGTTGGTAAAGGTGTGTGTTGGTACATGTATGTGTGTGTTGGTACAGGTGTGCGAGTTGGTACAGGTGTGTGCGTGTTGGTAGAGGTGTGTGAGTTGGTACAGGTGTGTGTGAGTTGGTAGAGGTGTGTGTAAATTGGTACAGGTGTATGTGCGTTGGTACAGGTGTGTGAGAGTTGGTACAGGTGTGTGCGAGTTGGTACAGTTGTGTGCGTGTTGGTACAGGTGTGTGTGAGTTGGTACAGGTGTGTGTGAGATGGTACAGTTGTGTGCGTGTTGGTACAGGTGTGTGTGTGTTGGTACAGGTGTGTGCGTGTTGGTACAAGTGTGTAAGTTGGTACAGGTGTATGTGAGTTGGTACAGGTGTGTGTGAGTTGGTACAGGTGTTTGTGAGATGGTACAGTTGTGTGCGTGTTGGTACAGGTGCGTGTGTGTTGGTACAGGTGTGTGTGCGTGTTGGTACAGGTGTGTGTGAGTTGGTACAGGTGTATGTGAGTTGGTACAGGTGTGTGTGAGTTGGTACAGGTGTGTGTGTTGGTACAGGTGTGTGCGTGTTGGTACAGGTGTGTGCGTGTTGGTACAGGTGTGTGTGAGTTGGTACAGGTGTGTGCGTGTTGGTACAGGTCTGTGAGTTAGTACAGGTGTGTGTGTTGGTACAGGTGTGTGCGAGTTGGTACAGGTGTGTGCGTGTTGGTACAGGTGTGTGTGTGAGTTGGTACAGGTGTGTGTGTGTTGGTACAGGTGTGTGTGAGTTGGTACAGGTGTGTGTGAGATGGTACAGTTGTGTGCGTGTTGGTACAGGTGTGTGTGTGTGTGTGTTGGTACAGGTGTGTGCGTGTTGGTACAAGTGTGTAAGTTGGTACAGGTGTATGTGAGTTGGTACAGGTGTGTGTGAGTTGGTACAGGTGTTTGTGAGATGGTACAGTTGTGTGCGTGTTGGTACAGGTGCGTGTGTGTTGGTACAGGTGTGTGTGCGTGTTGGTACAGGTGTGTGTGCGTGTTGGTACAGGTGTGTGTGAGTTGGTACAGGTGTATGTGAGTTGGTACATGTGTATGTGAGTTGGTACAGGTGTGTGTGAGTTGGTACAGGTGTGTGCGTGTTGGTACAGGTGTGTGCGTGTTGGTACAGGTGTGTGCGTGTTGGTACAGGTGTGTGCGAGTTGGTACAGGTGTGTGCGTGTTGGTACAGGTGTGTGTGAGTTGGTACAGGTGTGCGAGTTGGTACAAGTGTGTGTGAGTTGGTAAAGGTGTGTGTTGGTACATGTATGTGCGTGTTGGTACAGGTGTGTGTGTGTGTTGGTACAGGTGTGTGTGTTGGTACAGGTGTGTGTGAGTTGGTACAGGTGTGTGTGAGTTGGTACAGGTGTGTGCGTGTTGGTACAGGCGTGTGCGTGTTGGTACAGGCGTGTGCGTGTTGGTACAGGCGTGTGTGTGTTGGTACAGGTGTGTGTGTGAGTTGGTACAGGTGTGTGTGTTGGTACAGGTGTGTGTGAGTTTGTACAGGCGTGTGCGTGTTGGTACGGGTGTGTGTGAGTTAGTACAGGTGTGTGTGAGTTAGTACAGGTGTGTGTGAGTTGGTACACGTGTGTGCGTGTTGGTACATGTGTGTGAGTTGGTACTGGTGTGAGTTGGTACAGGTGTGTGTGAGTTGGTACAGGTGTGTGTGAGTTGGTACAGGTGAGTGTGTGTGAGTTGGTACAGGTGTGTGTGAGTTGGTACAGGTGAGTGTGTGTGAGTTGGTAAAGTTGTGTGCGTGTTGGTACAGGTGTGTGTGAGTTGGTACAGTTGTGTGCGAGTTGGTACAGGTGTGTGTGAGTTGGTACAGGTGTGTGCGTGTTGGTACAGGTGTGTGTGAGTTGGTACACATGTGTGCGTGTTGGTACAGGTGTGTGTGAGTTGGTACAGGTGTGTGTGAGTTGGTACAGGTGTGTGTGGGTTGGAACAGGTGTGTGTGTTGGTACAGGTGTGTGAGAGTTGGTACAGGTCTGTGTGAGTTGGTACAGGTGTGTGCGTGTTGGTACAGGTGTATGTGAGTTGGTACAGGTGTGTGAGTGTTGGTACAAGTGTGTAAGTTGGTACAGGTGTGTGTTAGTTGGTACATGTGTGTGTGAGTTGGTACATGTGTGAGCGTGTTGGTACAGGAGTGCGAGTTGGTACAGGTGTGTGAGTGTTGGTACAGGTGTGTGCGTGTTGGTACAGGTGTGCGAGTTGGTACAAGTGTGTGTGAGTTGGTAAAGGTGTGTGTTGGTACATGTATGTGTGTGTTGGTACAGGTGTGCGAGTTGGTACAGGTGTGTGCGTGTTGGTAGAGGTGTGTGAGTTGGTACAGGTGTGTGTGAGTTGGTAGAGGTGTGTGTAAATTGGTACAGGTGTATGTGCGTTGGTACAGGTGTGTGAGAGTTGGTACAGGTGTGTGCGAGTTGGTACAGTTGTGTGCGTGTTGGTACAGGTGTGTGTGAGTTGGTACAGGTGTGTGTGAGATGGTACAGTTGTGTGCGTGTTGGTACAGGTGTGTGTGTGTTGGTACAGGTGTGTGCGTGTTGGTACAAGTGTGTAAGTTGGTACAGGTGTATGTGAGTTGGTACAGGTGTGTGTGAGTTGGTACAGGTGTTTGTGAGATGGTACAGTTGTGTGCGTGTTGGTACAGGTGCGTGTGTGTTGGTACAGGTGTGTGTGCGTGTTGGTACAGGTGTGTGTGAGTTGGTACAGGTGTATGTGAGTTGGTACAGGTGTGTGTGAGTTGGTACAGGTGTGTGTGTTGGTACAGGTGTGTGCGTGTTGGTACAGGTGTGTGCGTGTTGGTACAGGTGTGTGTGAGTTGGTACAGGTGTGTGCGTGTTGGTACAGGTCTGTGAGTTAGTACAGGTGTGTGTGTTGGTACAGGTGTGTGCGAGTTGGTACAGGTGTGTGCGTGTTGGTACAGGTGTGTGTGTGAGTTGGTACAGGTGTGTGTGTGTTGGTACAGGTGTGTGTGAGTTGGTACAGGTGTGTGTGAGATGGTACAGTTGTGTGCGTGTTGGTACAGGTGTGTGTGTGTGTGTGTTGGTACAGGTGTGTGCGTGTTGGTACAAGTGTGTAAGTTGGTACAGGTGTATGTGAGTTGGTACAGGTGTGTGTGAGTTGGTACAGGTGTTTGTGAGATGGTACAGTTGTGTGCGTGTTGGTACAGGTGCGTGTGTGTTGGTACAGGTGTGTGTGCGTGTTGGTACAGGTGTGTGTGCGTGTTGGTACAGGTGTGTGTGAGTTGGTACAGGTGTATGTGAGTTGGTACATGTGTATGTGAGTTGGTACAGGTGTGTGTGAGTTGGTACAGGTGTGTGCGTGTTGGTACAGGTGTGTGCGTGTTGGTACAGGTGTGTGCGTGTTGGTACAGGTGTGTGCGAGTTGGTACAGGTGTGTGCGTGTTGGTACAGGTGTGTGTGAGTTGGTACAGGTGTGCGAGTTGGTACAAGTGTGTGTGAGTTGGTAAAGGTGTGTGTTGGTACATGTATGTGCGTGTTGGTACAGGTGTGTGTGTGTGTTGGTACAGGTGTGTGTGTTGGTACAGGTGTGTGTGAGTTGGTACAGGTGTGTGTGAGTTGGTACAGGTGTGTGCGTGTTGGTACAGGCGTGTGCGTGTTGGTACAGGCGTGTGCGTGTTGGTACAGGCGTGTGTGTGTTGGTACAGGTGTGTGTGTGAGTTGGTACAGGTGTGTGTGTTGGTACAGGTGTGTGTGAGTTTGTACAGGCGTGTGCGTGTTGGTACGGGTGTGTGTGAGTTAGTACAGGTGTGTGTGAGTTAGTACAGGTGTGTGTGAGTTGGTACACGTGTGTGCGTGTTGGTACATGTGTGTGAGTTGGTACTGGTGTGAGTTGGTACAGGTGTGTGTGAGTTGGTACAGGTGTGTGTGAGTTGGTACAGGTGAGTGTGTGTGAGTTGGTACAGGTGTGTGTGAGTTGGTACAGGTGAGTGTGTGTGAGTTGGTAAAGTTGTGTGCGTGTTGGTACAGGTGTGTGTGAGTTGGTACAGTTGTGTGCGAGTTGGTACAGGTGTGTGTGAGTTGGTACAGGTGTGTGCGTGTTGGTACAGGTGTGTGTGAGTTGGTACACATGTGTGCGTGTTGGTACAGGTGTGTGTGAGTTAGTACAGGTGTGTGTGAGTTAGTACAGGTGTGTGTGAGTTGGTACAGGTGTGTGTGAGTTGGTACAGGTGTGTGTGAGTTGGTAGAGTTGTGTGCGTGTTGGTACAGGTGTGTGCGTGTTGGTACAGGTGTGTGCGTGTTGGTACACGTGTGTGTGTGTGAGTTGGTACAGGTGTGTGAGAGTTGGAACAGTTGTGTGTGAGATGGTACAGGTGTGTGAGTGTTGGTACAGGTGTGTGTGAGTTGGTACAGGTGTGTGCGTGTTGGTACAGGTGTGTGCGCTAGAGGTGCAGATGGAGCTCACCTGTCGGGCAGAGTGAGGTGAGTGTGAAGTGAGCGCAGATCAGGGCGCTCACCAACGTCACCTGGCCCCCCAGTAGCGCCCGCATGGTGCGGGGGGGGGGGTGATGGATGGGGGGGGGGGCTCACCCGCACCTGGAAGGGGAGGGGAGCGATCAGGTGAGCTGGGTGGTGAGAAGGTGGTGAGCGGTGTGGTGAGCTGGGTGGTGAGCTGGGTGATGAGAAGGTGATGAGTTGGGTGATGAGAATGTGGTGAGCTGGGTGGTGAGGATGAGCTGAACGGTGTGGTGAGGTGAGCGGGGTGAGGAGGAGGAATGAGGTGAGCGCAGGTAAGGAGGTCAGCGGGATGGTGAAGAGGAGGAGGTGGTGATGGTGAAGATGAGGTGGTGGTGAAGAGGTGGTGGTGATGATGGTGAAGAGGTGGTGGTGATGGTGAAGAGGTGGTGGTGATGGTGAAGAGGAGGTGGTGGTGGTGGTGGTGAAGAGGAGGTGGTGGTGATGGTGAAGAGTAGGTGGTGGTGAAGAGGAGGTGGTGGTGATGGTGAAGAGGAGGTGGTGGTGGTGAAGAGGAGGTGGTGGTGATGGTGAAGAGGAGGTGGTGGTGGTGAAGAGGAGGTGGTGGTGGTGATGGTGAAGAGGAGGTGGTGGTGGTGAAGAGGAGGTGGTGATGGTGGTGGTGAAGAGGAGGAGGTGGTGATGGTGGTGGTGAAGAGGAGGTGGTGGTGGTGGTGATGAAGAGGAGGTGGTGGAGAGGAGGAGGTGGTGGTAATGGTGAAGAGGTGATGGTGAAGAGGAGGAGGTGGTGATGGTGGTGGTAAAGAGGAGGTGGTGGTGGTGGTGAAGAGGAGGTAGTGGTGGTGGTGGAGAGGAGGAGGTGGTGGTGATGGTGAAGAGGTGATGGTGAAGAGGAGGAGGTGGTGATGGTGGTGGTGAAGAGGAGGAGGTGGTGGTGGTGAGCGCGGGTAAGTTGAGAGCGCGTGGATCTGGGATGCTCGTACACAGCGTGACCCACACCCGGACTCGAACCCGGTCGGGCCCGTCTAACCGGACCCCACGCACCTCCGGGGATACGAGCAGGGGGGGGGGGGGGGGGGGGCTGGGGGCTGGGGGCTGGGGGCTGGGGGTGCATGGGGAGTGGAGAGAAGTCACCCAACCGGTGTCAATCCAAGTGCCGAGACAAGAGATGGGAAGCGTTCAGAGAGAAGGAGAGTTAACGGAGAGAGAGAGCGGGAGAGAGCGTCCCTAAAACTGCGCTTCCGCGGATTTCCACGTCTGAAAACACCCTGCGGAGTCGGCGCGTCCGCAGATTTCCATGTTTGCAAAAAGCCTGCAGAGACGGCGTTTCCGCGGATTTCTGTTTACAAAAAAACCCAGGAGGGATAACGTTTCCGCGGATTTCTATCTTTCCAAACACCCAAGAGAGATGGCGCTTCCGCGGATTTCTATGTTGACAAACACCCAAGAGAGACGGCGCTTCCGCGGATTTCTATGTTGACAAACAGTCGCTGCTGGGGACTGTAATGAGACAAACACCACAACCACTACAACCACCACCACCACTACAACCACCACCACTACAACCACAACCACCACCACTATAACCAAACCACAACCACCACTACTATAACCACACCACAACCACCACTACTATAACCACAACCACCACTACTATAACCACACCACTACTACCATAACCACACCACAATCACGACTACTATAACCACACCACAAGCACCACTGCTATAACCACAACCACCACTACTATAACCACACCACAATCACGACTACTATAACCACACCACAACCACCACTACCATAACCACAACCACCACTACTATAACCACACCACAACCACCACTACCATAACCACACCACAATCACGACTACTATAACCACACCACAACCACCACTACTATAACCACACCACAACCACCACTACCATAAACACACCATGTCGCCATACTGGCGACATGGCCCACCCAACGTAGCCTTGCCTCCCGGAGGGACTCCCACTGATGGGGAATGTGTCCAGATCTTTCAATCACACAAACACAATCACACAACACACAATCACACAATCACACAAACAATCACACAAACAAAATCACACAATCACACAAACAATCACACAAACAAAATCACACAATCACACAAATAAAATCACACAATCACACAAACAAAATCACACAATCACACAATCACAATAACACAATCACACAAACACAATCACACAAACACAATCACACAATCACACAAAAAAATCACACAAACAAAATCACACAATCACACAGACACAATAACACAATCACACAAACAAAATCACACAATCACACAAAGACAAAGATTCTACGTATCGCTTTTATAAGCTGTTGCGGCAAGTGCTGTTAGCGAGCGCCTTTGAAGGCGGGCACGGCACACGAGGGGGTGGGTGGCCAGCACCACGCCCGACCGCCTTTGTCTCCCCAGTGGCGATGTTTATTACACACCGCAGCAGGTACTGATTTAATGCAGAGTCGACCTAGGGGAGGCCCAGAACCGGTTCAGACAATAGTCACTGATGGTGTTGGCCCGAGAGCGGAAAGCGAACTCGGGTCGCCGGGTTCGTAGCGCAGCGTAGCGCTAACCGGTACCGCTCGCACACACACAATCACACACACAATCACACACACAATCACACACAAAATCACACACACAATCACACACACACAAAATCACACACACAAAATCACACACACAAAATCACACACGCAAAATCACACACACAAAATCACACACACACAATCAATCACACACACAAAATCACACACACAAAATCACACACACACAATCACACACAATCAATCACACACACAAAATCACACACACAATCTTACACACACAATCACACACAATCACACATACACAATCACACACACACAATCACACACACAATTACACACACATAATCACTCACACACCCTCAATCACACACACAATCACACACACAATCACACACACATAATCACTCACACACCCTCAATCACACACACAATCACACACACAATCAATCACACGCGCAATCACACGCACAATCACACACGCACAATCACACACACACAATCACATACGCGCGCGGTGCAGAGCACTGTGCGCGGTTGGATTCGTTCTGCAGTGAACAAGTCGCTCCGCTCGGTATCAACCCTCATCATCATCATCATCACCATCATCACCACCACCATCATCATCACCACCACCATCATCATCATCACCATCATCACCACCACCATCATCATCACCACCACCACCATCATCACCACCACCATCATCATCATCACCACCACCATCATCATCACCACCATCATCATCACCACCATCATCATCATTACCACCATCATCATCAGCACCATCATCATCATCACCATCATCATCATCACCACCATCACCACCACCATCACCACCACCATCATCATCACCACCATCATCATCATCACCACCATCATCATCAGCACCATCATCACCACCATCATCATCATCACCACCATCATCATCATCACCACCATCATCATCATCATCACCACCACCATCATTATCATCACCATCATCATCACCACCATCACCATCATCACCATCATCATCACCACCATCACCACCACCACCACCACGCGGCGCGTGATGAGTGATGGGTGAATGGTGATGGGTGATTAGTGATTGGTGATTGGTGATTAGTGATCAGTGATGGGTGATTAGTGATTAGTGACTAGTGATGGGTGATTGGTGATTAGTGATGGGTGATTGGTGATTAGTGACTAGTGATGGGTGATTGGTGACTAGTGATGGGTGATTGGTGACTAGTGACAAGTGATGGGTGATTAGTGACTAGTGATAAGTGATTTGTGATTAGTGATTAGTGACTAGTGGTGGGTGATTAGTGATTGGTGATTGGTGATTAGTGACTAGTGATTGGTGATTAGTGACTAGTGACTAGTGATTGGTGATTGGTGATTGGTGATTAGTGACTAGTGATTGGTGATTGGTGATTGGTGATTAGTGACTAGTGATTAGTGACTAGTGACTAGTGATGGGTGATTAGTGATTGGTGATTAGTGATTGGTGATTAGTGATTAGTGACTAGTGATGGGTGATTAGTGATTGGTGATTAGTGATTGGTGACTAGTGATGGGTGATTAGTGATTGGTGACTAGTGATGGGTGATTAGTGACTAGTGACTAGTGATTAGTGACTAGTGATGGGTGAATGGTGATTGGTGATCAGTGACAAGTGATGGGTGAGACAGCGAGAGAGAATTCGCAACACCTGACCAGAACTTGGCTCACCTCGTCTCCACGGGAGCCGCGTCTCCTCCTCCTGGTCCCTGGTCCGGGCCCCCTAGCCCCTGGGTCCCCGAGTCCTGAGTCCCTGGGTCCCCTAGCCGCTAGGTCACCTAGTCCCGGTTCCCTGGGTCCATAGTCCTGGGTCTCTGGGTCTCTGGTCCCTAGTCCCGGGTCCCAGGGTCCCAAGTCACTGACCGTGGCTCTTTAGTCCCTGGGTCCCTGGTCCTGGGTCCCCGCAACAGTGGCCAGGTGAGCCGCATTGCTCACCTGTGTGACGTCATCACCCTATTCCCCCCGCCCCCTCCCCCCCCGGTGTGCCCCGCCCCCGAGCACAGGTGTGTGTGTGACCACGTGGCCACGGGCTTGACGCGAGACGGAATGCCTTACGTAATCCTATACTCTGCACAATCCCCTACAACGCACTGCACAGCACTATACACAATAACATACAGCACGTAACGCTACACAATACCCAGTGCACAGTACAATGCAGCACTATGCAATACCGTACAATACTGCACGTAATACAATAGAATTAAATGCTAAACATAATACTACAGAGAACAATACGATGCACAATGCTATGCAAATCACAATACAATTACAGTACACGCATTGTACCCCGCGAGATATCTCCGTTGCTGAAGAGGGAGAGGTCCCCAACTGAAAGGTCAAAAGTTCACAGCCTTCGTTGGGGTCGGGAGATGACTCAACCCATCATCGCGCCCCTCCCACCCGGGGGGGGGGGGGTCGATAAAACGAGTACAACTTTACGGGTTGTACGAATGGACTCGCCCACGCTCCCCCCCACCTCTCCCTCACCCGCTATTGGAATTTCCATCACTGTCAGACGAAAGTTGCTCTGGCTTTTGAGCCAAGAGCCAATGGAGCGGATGGAGGTTTTGTTGAATCTTTGCTCGGCTCTGGGTCGAGTGAGTTGGAGACCAACTCCATTGAGCTGGAGACCAACTCGACACGCAGCCCTCAATGGCATGTGTGTGCGTGAGCGTGCGTTGCTGAGTGTGCGTGCATGTGTGTGTGCATGTGTGCGTGCATGTGTGTGCGTGAGTGTGCGTGCATGTATGTGCGCATGTGTGTGTGCATGTGGGGGGGGGGGGGGCATAGGTGATGCATCAGCCACTTATCTCAGTCAGTCGACCCGTGGCACCTGGGTCTGCCCCGTGACCTCCTGCCAGCGGGCGTTCGACACTTCACGTGGCCTCAACGTGCACAGAGCCTGGCACAAGCGTCGTGGTGACGTCACGCCACTTTGTGGCGAATGGCGGTTGTTGTTGTTGTTGTTGTGTGCGTGCGCCCTTAATCCAAAATAAAATAGGGCGACGTTTCAGACAAAGACGTGTGAAATATTTGTAAACATAGAAATCCGCGGAAGCTCCGTCTCTCCTGGGTGTTTGGAAACGTAGAAATCCGCGGAAGCTCCGTCTCTTCGGGGTGTTTGTATAGATAGAAATCCGCGGAAGCATCGTTTCTCCCGTTTGTAAACAAGGCCGCGTGCTGTAAACAAAGTTCGGTCGCTCCAACCCGTACCGTCCACTCTACCTCCCTTGAGGCCAATGTGCTGGGTGGAAGCGCCACTGCCCGAAACGTCGCCTATAGTTATACATTGCTCCTTGTACCAACACAAACAGCTGTACACACCTGTACCAAGACAAACGATACACCCCTTTTACAGCCTTCACAGACCTTTGGCACAAGTGATGTTAACGAAGCACCACGCCCGACTGCCTTTGTCTCTCCCCTGTGGCGACGTTTACCACACACCGCACCAGGTACTCATTTGAGGCTGAGATGACCTAGGAGAGGAGCCCAGGACCGGTTCTTATAATCGACACTTTTATTGATCGTGAGCAAGAACCGAACTCGGGCCGCCGGGTTCGTAGCGCAATGCGCTCCCAATTCCCAACACACACACACCTACACCTGTATACCTGTATACCAACACACACACACCTGTACATAGTCATATACGCCTGTTCATCAGACACATCAATCACAACAACCGCCGTTCGCCACTAAGTGTCGGCGACGTCAGCACGGCGCCTGTGCCAGGCTAGGTGCACGTTGAGGCTCGCTGCAGGCAAGGCGGGCAGGTCACGGGGCAGACCCCACCCGGGTGCCACGGGGGTCGACTGACCGAGGATGAACGTCCGATGAGTCCACCATCTGTGCTCCCGACCAAGGCCGTAGCCATGGAGTCAACATTGGGGGGGAGGACCAAATCTTCTACGGGGTCTGGGGGTCCCCCCCGCCCCCCAGAAGAAAAAAAAAATCTAAATTTGAAAAACGAATTTCCTGCCTAAAATATAAAAAAATTCACTAACATGTGGGATGGAGTTTTTATTTATTACAATAATGCCTAATCGTGTATAGTGTATTACATTGCTCTGTTTTTTTACCTTTTTTTACCTTTTCTTGTTTCGAGAGAAGATTAGAGCTTAATAAAGTACAACCATAACCACAATCATATATATTCATATTCTTAGCTCTTTCGGTAAAGTCACGTTGAAGGGAAACAATAAAATAATAAAATATATTTTTTATTGTTTCCCTTCAACGTAACTTTGCCGAAAGAGCTAAGAATATGAATTACTGCAGTCACGAAAGCTTTACATCACAATCACATAAACATAAATCTATTTCATAGCAATATATTATTATTATTACTGCCTTGCTCCCGATGCACGCACCAGCTAGTGTAGTTATTCGCACAGAACACGTGTCTAGACGCCGTGCCATTGCACCACTGCCAACACAGCGGCGGCGTGGTGCTGTCCCCCACCACACCACACCCCTCCTCGCGTGCCAGTGCCGGTCGTCTTCACAGGCGCTGCTTCTCACTCACAGCACTTGTCCCACCCCCCCCCACCCCCAACAGCCTTTGAAGGCGACACGGGGGGACATTTTTAGTTTGTTCACCGCCTGGTACGTGTTTGCTCTGTGTGTGTGGTGACCGTGTGTGTGCCTTGACCATGTGTGTGGTGACCGTGTGTGTGTGTCTGTGGTGACCGTGTGTGTGTGGTGAAGTGTGTGTGTGTGGTGACCGTGTGTGTGTGTGGTGACCGTGTGTGTGTGTGGTGACCGTGTGTGTGTGTGTGGTGACCGTGTGTGTGTGGTGACCGTGTGTGTGTGTGGTGACCGTGTGTGTGTGTGGTGACCGTGTGTGTGTGTGTGGTGACCGTGTGTGTGTGGTGACCGTGTGTGTGTGTGGTGACCGTGTGTGTGTGGTGACCGTGTGTGTGTGTGGTGACCGTGTGTGTGTGTGTGGTGAGGGGCCGTCCCCCCCCATCGTCACACGGCGTCACAAAAAGTCAGACCCCCCCCCTCAAATATGACGTCACAAAGCTCTGCCCCCCCCCACCAAAAACAATATAAAACATGCTTCAAATCGCTTTAAACTATTGACATTGTAGTGCGTATTTAATGTGGCGCTGCACTCTGATGTTGTAGAAGAAAACATTTATCAAAAAGTCTATTTAAGTAGAAGGTGTTGTCTATATTTATTTAAAGTTGCGCATTTTGATGTGACGTCACATTTCTCAACCCCCCCCCTCGTCACACATCGTCACAAATGTCTGACCCCCCCCCCTCCCTTAGGTGCGTGACGTCATTTATGAACAGCCCCTGACCGTGTGTATTTGTTAACCGTGTGTGTTGACCGTGTTTTTACTGTTTTTACTGTGTGTTGACCTGTTTTTACTGTGTTTTTACTGTGTTGACCGTGCGTATGTGTTAATCGTGTGTGTTGTGTTGAACGTGTGTGTGGTGACCGTATGTGTTAATCGTGTGTGTTGACTGTGTGTTAATCGTGTGTGTTGACCGACTGTGTTGACTGTGTGTATGTTGAGTGTGTTGACCGTGTGTTGACTGTACGCGGGTGTTGACTGTGTGTGCGTATTGACCATGTGTGTTGACCGTGTGTGTGTGGTGACCGTGTGTGTATGCCGAACTTCTTTCGTACGGTACGCAGCCAAACCTGCTAATTGGAGATGTGGGGGTAGGACAACTAAACACAGACAGCTGTTCTAAAGGAATGAGTTTTCAGTCTAAATGTAAAAAGTGCACATAGCTCCCAGTGGCTTCCTAATATCGGAAGGGGAAGAACGTTCCAGACGACCGCAGAAACGCATCCGAAAGCGCCGCGCGATGCGGTGACCACCGCCGCCTTTTGTTCGATGGGCAGCCAGAAGCCGCTGCGAGGAGGCCTGGAGTTGGCGCGGTGATGGTTCATCCTCCTTGACGAGATCACCGAGGTGTCGTGGTTCATTTGTTGGCAAGCACGTCGTGCGTGGCGAGTGCCAGCTCACATTGACTTTCCAGTTGCCGCTTCGTTCGGCAACTGGAAAGTCAATGCAAGCTTGGCGAGCACTGGACACGACTCGGTTGGATCCTGCAGTTCCCCGTCACGACACGCGCCAGAGAATGTTGTACTCGCTGCAGCGTGGTAGTGTTTGCCAGACGTCCCGTAGAGTCGTGAGTTGCAATGATCGAGCCTTGTCGATATACGACGCTTACACGCCACCGTGTTGGCAATGTCACGACTCAGTAGTGCCTTGGACGACTGCAGGAGCCCTGACGTGAACATTGCAGGGCCTGACGATAGTTTGCGCGCGGTGATAACACGGCACGGTCTGGTCGAGGGTGGTGCCCGAGGCTCTGTAGGGGAGTAGAAAACTGAATCCTGGAGTCCGTGACCGCCACACGCGATCCGCCCGCAATTTGTTTCGCCTGGACCCGAGCGCCAACCAGCAGAACCTCCGAACTGTTCCGGATCAAGCAGCGTGTCGTGTGGTGCAGGCCGCACGTGCACCGCTCGCGTGCAATCTCCGTGGTTGTCGAGGCTCTCCGTATCTAACTTTGACTTCACCGCGGCGACCAATTGTGTTACCATCGGCACATCGATGGAACTTGATGTCATGCCCTGAGGTGACATCGGCCATCGGAGAGACGTTTGTTGAAAATAAGAGCTTGAGGACGGATCCCTGCGGAACGGCGACTTGGCACGGCACAGACGATGACTGATCGTCACCCAGCTTGACGAACTGTGATCGACCACGTAGGGACGACTCAATCCACTCCAGTGCCGTACCCGACACAGCGAACCTTGACCGTAGCCACCCGATGAGTATCTCGTGGTCGGTGGTGTCGAAGGCGGCTGAGAGATCGAGGCCGACCAACGTTGCGGCGCACACCGGTCATCCATGACCTTGTAGAGGTCATCCGTGATCTTGTAGAGGCCATCTGTGATCTTGTAGA